AAATTATCGTCCGATAAGCCTCTTACCATCATTCTCTAAGGTTTTTGAAACAGTCATGTGTGTCAGGCTTCTCAGTTTTTTCTATAGTGAGGCACTGTTATGCCATGCACAATGGGTACCTTAAGGGAAAATCTATAGAGACTGCCATTTATGATTTTATAACAAAGATAAATGAGGGTTATGAAAACAAAGATATATCTATGGGCATATTTTTAGATTTCTCGAAAGCATTTGATACTTTAAATCACAAAATAATAATGAAAAAGCTTTACAGATATGGTATTAGAGGACCAGGTTATAATTGGATAAAATCATACCTATCAAACAGAAAACAGAAGAAAGTAAAATTTGAGTATGAGGGAAGACATTGCTTCTCTGATGAAGGTCTTATTTCGGTGGGAATTCCTCAGGAAAGTATTATGGGTCATTTTCTCTTTGTTTTTTATGTAAATGATTTAGCTTTAGACATAACAAATAACAATCAGAATACTCTTATTGTGAAATTTGCCGATGATACTAACATTTTAACTATAGCATCATCCTTGAATAATTTATTGAATATCGCTAATAATAGATTAGATAAAGCACAGAGATGGCTCAATATGAATAAACTCATACTGAACAGAGAAAAAACAAATTATATATGTTTTGTCACTAAAACAAATAATAGTACCTTACCAGAAACTGTTTCAATTCAATCGCAAATGGTTACTCTAAACCAAAGCACAAAATTTCTGGGGTACATATTGACCAAAATTTAGATTTTGCAGTGCATATAGATCTGTAACAGGTTAGCATCTATCTGCTACTCTTACAGAATAACAGCAAATCATTTGGACGAAAAATGTAAACGAGTTGTATATTTTTTAAATTTTCATGCTGTAATGCGATTTGGAATAGTTTTCTGGGGGGACGTGGTAACGCTGAACAGGTTTTTATATTACAAAAAAAAAAACAAACAGAACTCTACTTAACTTGAGATACAGAGATTCATGTAGAGGTAATTTCAAAAAGCTAAACATACTAACAATGGCTGGAACATACATATATGAATGCTTACTTTTCATTTTTTAAAATAGACATAAATTCTTGAAACACATAACAAACCATAATACTAATACACGAAACAATCTCATAAACTATAATATATCAATACATAGACTAACAGCATCTAAGAAAACCACAGAATATGCCTGTATTAAATTCTTTAATAAACTGCCTTACAGCATCAAAATAGAAACTGACATAAATAAATATAGAAAGTCTGTTCAACAATTGCTCATACACCTTGAACCATACAAAGTGGAAGAATACCTTCAAGCTGATCTGTAGGCAGACAAGGGCTCTTACCTGAATCTAAATGTTACTGTTATTATCATTATGTTTTAATATTACTTTTATGTTAAGTGTATGTTGTTACAGCAACCATTATAAATTGTAACTGACACCATTTTCTCTATTGACAATTTATATTTGTATGTAACTTGTGAATCCTGAGAATAAAGCTTTTTTCTATTCTATTCTATTCTATTCAATCTTGTGCTCAACAGAATATACAAGGAATTACACATGGCATCACAGAGATACCTCCTGGATTTGGCCTAACACGTAAGACTTGGTGCACAATTAACCACTTCACAACTCAATATGGTTGATGTTCATATATGTAGCACAGACACAGACAGCCTTTTTTATGGCTTCACAGTACAAACAAGTGTTTTGGATGAACATGTTAGTCATATATCTCTGGCATTGAACGAGTTTTGTCGTAAAAATGAAATTATTTTGGTAGCAGTGATTCCAAATTCCATACATATCATGCAGTCAGTTGATGTTGCTATATTCCTACCGGTTAAACCTATATGGCGCAAAATAGTTCTTGATTTCTGAACCTATTTTAAAAATCAATCTTCCAAAAATTCTTCTCTTCTTAGATTGCCGTATCCCTACGGAGGTTGGCAATCACAATGGCTATTTTTATTTTGTAACTTTCTGCTCTAATCAATCGATCTGCATTGATACCAGTCACGTAGATTCTTTAACCATGAGTTCTGCATTTGGCCAATAGATCTTCTTCCTTGAATCTTTCCCTGTATTATGAGTCTTAAAATTTCATATTGTGGTCCCCTCATTACGTGGCCTAGGTATTCCAGTTTTCTGGTTTGTATAGTGGTGATTAGTTCTGTTTCTTTACCAACCCTCTCCAGTACTTCTTTATTTGTAATTCTATCAGTCCATGATATTTTCAATACTCCGCGGTATAACCAGAGTTCGAAGGCCTCGATTCTTTTTATATTACATTTTTTTAATGTCCATTGTTTTAATTGTTTTAATGTCCAAGTCTCAGCTCCATATAATAATATTGAAAATATATAACAGCAAATGGTACGTAGTCTGATCTCCAAATTTGGATTTTTGCACGTTAGGAGTGGCTTCATTCGTATAAATGCTGATCTGGTAATCTCTATTAGTATGATCATTGATTTCTAGGATTTGCCATAAATTCTGCTGAATCCTATTTTGTCACTCCTCCAAAATTTTCAACGCCATTTGAAAGTGCACTTTATTTCCCCAGAAAAATATCTCAGACGTCCAAAAGAATGGCTACAAAAAAATTAACACCTGTAGTAACGATTGCTGATGATTTCATAGACTACCAGTGAAGAGTGAAACTGAAAAAAATGAAAAGAAAGAAAAGGAAATTTTAAACAAAAATGTTGGTTCTGACAGAAAAACAGGTGAAAGAAGTAGAAAGCCGAAAGCTAACAAGTCTGTGGCTTTAAAGGTGGGCGATTACGAACTAGGTGACTACGTCATTGTAGTTTACGAGGAGAAACATTTTCCAGTAGTATAAGAAAAAGCAGAAGATAAATTCAAAATCAAAGCTATGGAAAAATATGATATCACTGAAGATGGCCAGAGGCAGATTATATTATTTGGTATGATCCAGAGGAAATGTGTTTGTTTAATTGCACCGCCTCAATACATTAATAAAAGGGGTCTTTTTATTAATGAATGTACAGTAGGTAAATAATTTGTATGTTTTTCATAGCTATTTTGCAATCAATAAAACAAGGACTATTGCTAAGTAACTTATGAAAGTATGTACATTGTTTTAATTTATTTAGTTTTTTTATGCCTTTTCTATATAAAAATTATGCTTCTGTATTTTTTATACCTACTTTGAAAATATTAAAATATATATTTACAAAAGACTGTGTGTATAGTTTAAAACAAAAAAAAAGATAACTTTTTTGACATACATGCCGGAATTAAATCACCATTAGGCCGAAAATACCACTAATTTTTCAACATAGGCCGGAACTAAAGTTTTTTGCATATTAGTGAAAACATTTTTTTTTGTCAAATAAAAAACACATTTTCCATTTTTTTTATTAATTATTTTGATGAAGAAAACATCAATATATCAAATATAGTTTAAATCCATTTTCTTTATTATTTCGTTTCCTTAACGTCTAAAGTCAAATATTCCTTAACTGGACCGTTATTAGGTCGGCTTACCTTATCTAGGTAGCTCTACTTCTAGGTATCTCTACAGCTCTACTATCTAGGTAGCTCTACAGTAATAAATATTTATACAAGAATAGAATAAAAGAGTTTTTATTTTGCTCACCACATATGGTGATTGTCTTATTTGATTAAATTGTAAAATTGAAGCAAACAACTTGCAATATCATTGCTGAATGATTTTTATTACCTTAGTCAATATTTTTTTACGCACAACAGGCTTGAGGCCTAGGGTATTTTTTTACACATAATCCTAATATTAACTAATTACAATTATTTTGAACAAAAATTTAATATATTATATTATATATGTGTATACAACATTCTGAACTACTCTGAAGGACCTGGTGGACAATATTTCTCCATTCGCTTTTATTTTGTGCTTTTCTTTTCCAGTCCCTCACTTCCACGTGTTTAAGGTCTTCCTCCACTTTACTAATCTACCTCGTTCTGGGTCTACCTCTTTTTTTGTGGCCGATTAGTATTCTGGTTATTATTAACTTGGGCATTCTGTTTGCTGCCATTCTGCCAACCATCTGATTCTTTGTGACTTGACGAACTTGGTAATGGTACGTTCTTTGTATAAAGCTATTAATTTATTGTTGGTTCTTCTCTCCCAACCATCTTCTATCTTCCGTCCTCCGAATATGCGTCTCAATATTTTCCTTTCCCATCTTTCCAGAGTATCCTCTTCCTTCTTATTTAATATGCATGTCTCACCGGCATATGTTACTGTGGGTCGAATTACTGTTTTATATATTCTGAGTTTACCTTGTCTAGAAACGTATTTTGAGTTAAGTAGGGCTTTTAAACTACCTAATTTTTTATTCCCTTTTTTGATGATGTAAATAACTTTGGTACTGGCATCGTTTAAGTATCATTTTAAATTAACATTCCATCTGTTCATTGAGAATGAAAAGTGAATTAGATATTTTACACAGCATATCAAATATTGCAGGAGTCACTTGCGGATAACCAAGAGACAAATTGAATTTTGTTTCAAAAATGTGTCTATAAAAAGATTGTTTACTTCATTAAATACTCTAATCGGCTAATGGACTGAATCTATTCTATCAGGATTGCCCAGTGGTTCTCAACTTTACAGTTGATCCAGCTGCCCAGGTACTTAATGTGTTTCATCCTTTCAGTGTTTTATCATCTAATTTTAGTACTGATTGTTCACTATTAATTTTTCCAGTGACCATCTATTTTATTATCTTTGCGCTGATAGTTGAAAACATAATGTATTCTCTTGAAACAGACTTAAAATACCCTTCTTATTGACCTGATCTGACATCATCTGATGCGTACACTTGGTACAAGCTAAAAAAGCCGTGTATCATTATGAAGATAGTTTGCAGCAGCTTGGTACATATTTTGAATGTATTATATAAAAAATAATCATTTAACACAATGTTAATTTTTTTTCCTTACTGATTAATTTAGCAAATTCTTTATAAATAGACATAAACATATATTAAGACTTTATACAACTTTAATAAATATTTACAAATATAAATTATCTAGTAAGAGCTAATTCTTTGGCCATCTAGCATCTCTTTATTAGTGAAGATAATCTCTCTGTATTAATGAAAATGCCACCCCATTAGTCCATCCAAAACCAGATTGCACTGTATACTCTCCACCACCTCCATACTGACCGACATTAATAGCATCGTACTTTTCGAACATCTCGTTGGTAGTATTCATACCTGTCATGAACGCCTTTAAAATCCTTTTGGAAAATAAATTTGCAATCGTTTTGGCTTTCTTGTTTCTTGTTTCATCAAGACCTAGAACAAATATTTCTTGTAGCGGGGGCCAAGCGTTTGGCAAATCCCACTGCTGACCACTTTGAATTAACGAAGTCGGTACACCCCCCAAAAAGTTGCTCAGTTTGTTTCTATTTAAGTAGTCTGCTGCGCGTGAACCGTAATAGTCAGCACGTGCAGGTGCAAAACATTTGGTCCATAAAGGAGCGAAGGTACTGGGATAAAATTCTACTCTGTATTTACCAACTTTTGCATCTACATCATACCAAATACCATCGCGTTTGTGGTAGAAAATTTTGTCGATTGCAATTTTCCATTTATCAACCTTTCGCTTGTAATCTGCGGATTTGGTTTTGTTACCAACTAACGTATAAAACTTGGCAAGTTGATCAAAAGCTCCGCATATAAAAGCGTTTAGATCTACTGGAAGTATATCACTTGTATGGATATCAGTCAGATTAACTCCTATACCTCCTGAGCTGTTCCTTATCCATCTTGTAGAAAAGTCCCATCCTGACTCAGCTGCACTTCTAATGTTCTTATAGCATTCAACCTAAAACAATATAACTATAAATATCGTGTGCAATAAAATTATTAAGAAAATTATTTATTTAATCATTTAAAAATACGAAACTATTACTGGAATTGGCGGTTATTTGGTGGAAATTAACAGCTAATTTATAAAGCTTCTAAAGCTTCCAGTAATTATAATTTTTTTGAAGCGAAATTGTATTTGTGCTACAGTTCTGTGGATGCTCCTATTGATGTGATTTTCGCGGTAACCATCTACTTCGGTCTGCATCATCGCAAAGGAGTATTGATCTGGACACAATGGTATTAATTACTGAAATATTTGTGAAGATAGCTGATGAGAGTTGGCATGCAAGTAACGATTGGTATGGGTGAGCTGTCGATATACAGAGTGATGAAAATGTTGGGATTGGTTTAGCTTTATGATAACGTCGAGAAACGTTAGCAGTGAATCAGTTTCCAGCTCCATCGTGAACTAGATACTAAGATTTACACCATTCAGATGGGTTTGAAAAGACACCAAAGCATCCCATGGCCCTAAATGACGAATGTAGCGTCAACATATCGTATCCAACATGTGGGTTTGAGCATTGTTGTGGATAGTGCTTGAGTCTCAAAGTCTTCCATAAAGATATTGACAATTACTGAACATAGTATGGAGCCTACTGGGACACCATTTATTTGTGTGTAGAATTGATTTGGAAGATGAAATAAATGTTCAACATACAATGTTTAATAAGCGATAAGTGGTCAAGAATGTTTAGAGTTTCGTCTATAGGAATGTTTGTATAGAGTGAAACGATATTAAAACTTACTAGAACGTGTGACTGTGAGATAGGGAGTAGTCTAAGAAGTTCGATAAAATGAAAATAATTTTTGACGAAGGATGAAGTATTTTCGGTGAGAGGTTGTACAGTTTTCAAAAAGTTCTTCGCCAATGGTTTTGTAGGGAAGTTGTATGCACTGATAATGGGGCGTAAAGTAATATCGGGTATGTGAATTTTGGGTAGGTTAGGTTTTTTTTCGAGAAATTAGAGATTGTTTTATGTCAACGGGAAGAGAGATTTTAGAATAGCTTTTGTTGTTTTCTCCAGATAGGTTCTTGTACTATTAGGAATTGGTCTGTAGTCTGTAGTCTGTAGTCTGTAGTCTGGAGTATTAATGAGATTTAAGAGTTTATTAATATAAGAAGAAGTATTTAGAATGACGGTACCATTGCCTTTATCGGCGGAAAAAATGACTAGATTTGGAGCTGACCGAAGTTCTTTCAGGGCTTTTTTCTCGGATTGGCTAATGTTCGGAGCAGAAGGCTTTAAGTTTCTAAGAACTTTAGCGATGTCTTGTCTGTTTATTTCAGCATCTTTGCAAGGGAAATTATAGATGACTTCTTCAGTTTGACATATGATTATATCAATGAATGTGACTTGGAGTAACAGAGTAATTGAAACCTTTCGCTAAAGCTTTAGTGGTAATGGTCAAAATGAGTGTATCAGAAAAGTTATGAACCACTGTAGTGGGTTTCAACGTTGTAGTTTTGGACATTTTTTCGGCAATTAGATGCGCTAATTTACTCATATAAAATAAACCTAAAAAACAGCATAGTTCTACAAAATTATCGACCAGTAAGCTTAGGTACTGATAGGTATAATCAAAATATTAGAAAGGGTCATAAATTAAAGACTGAAAGGGGAACCAACTAGAAGCTAGAATACCACAGAGGGTGGTAATGTCACTTCTACTATATACCATAAGTAGGTAGCCAAAACCGTCTAGTTGAAATAGTTAGCAATGCCTAGAAGACCCAATCTGTAATTAAAAAAAGAACACAAATTTCAAGTCATCACACATAAATATTCGATTTTAAAATATAATGATCAAACGAATTAAATAAAGTATCTAGCAATTAAATTTGGTAAGATACTGACGTTCACTTCATATGTGAAGAATACAACAAATACGACAAAACTAATCTAGACCAAGCTAACTGAATTAAAAGAAAAAAACAATTCAGATTTAAAATAAAGATAAAACTTTTCAATAGCATAGCATCGCTATACCGACATCAACGCATGCCACAGTAGCATCGAGACATACATGTAGTACAAACGGAAAAAGGATATTTGTCAACAGTATATCTGTTGTATATAACGTGTGTGTAACGTTGTAATATATTGAAAATGTTGTATTTTATTAATTTTATTTTTTTTATAATAATTGTTGTAATTTTTAAAATATGTGGTTCGTTGTTTAATTTAATATATACCTCAGCTAGCTCAATTATGTGTTCTAAGCAATCTGTCACTGTGTGACGTCGACTCTGTAGTCTCCTGGTAGAGTTCAAAAAGAAATTAAACCAAAATTTACTTTAGACTTTTGATAAATTAACCCAAATGAAGCACGTTATTTATTAATATTGAACAAATTTAATATAAACAATAAAATTCGTCTGCAACTTGGGTTGCCTTTAAAAATTTACAAAAATAGGAATCGTGTAAATCTTAATGTGGTTTAGTGTAGTGACAATAAAAATTTATTACAAAATGTGGAGACTCTCTACAAGTACCTAAAAACTAAATAAATATTGCAACTTTCTAAAGTGTTTAAATGGACTATAAAGAAAAAGAAACTGAACACTTTATGCCGCTGACTTTTAACTTGCATTCAAATATAATCAAAATTTCAAATGATCCCCAAAATTATTATCCAACCCCACTTTAAAACAGTTCTGATTTCTTTAAAGAAAACTAACTAGTCGCAAAATAATCGGTGAAACTGGAATATCAATCCTCTCTTCGGAAGTTAAGGTACGTACTATTCTATTTATAATTTAATGATCATTAATATTCTCAATTTTTAAGGCCTATCGCAATTATGTTAATTCATGAATTTTAATTTTCTCAATTTAAATGACATTTCTGTACTTCAATAATAATTTATAAGTCAAATGGTTTCTCTTACTCTCTGGAACAAATTCTGAATATCTCTGCTGTGGAAACTGTGGAAAAACTAAATTCTAATTAGACGAGTTAAAAAAAAACACTCCCGACCTATTCCACAGTTTCAGGGCTCCCTTCGTCAAAAAATCTCCTCGTCGGCGTCCCCAAAAAAACCAATTATTATCCGTTGCTAACAGCAACCAACGTTCTTTCTTCTTTTCGTCTTCTATTTTATTAAACCATAAAACTGTCCTGTTCTGATACATTTATCAATCCACATTAATTTCTCATAATAGCTTTAATCACATCTAATTTGTGAATTTATAAAAAAAAAATGTTCAGATATAAATCTTATTCTATTACAATGCTAATACAATTTATTCTTTTCATCTCCACATCATTGTAATTTCTTATTTAACAAAACCCCTAATAATTTAGCTCCCACAGACTTGCTTGATAGTTTATTTCTGACGTTTTTAACCCTCTATTGCATGAATTTATTTTATTTTATTTTTTGACGAAATAAAATAAAATTATATTAAATTACTCTTAATAGATGTATGTAGAATTCACCGATATATATATATATATATATATATATATATATATATATATATATATATAGTTTTTTGAAAATGATCCAGTTTTTGAAAAACAAAATGTGTGCCCATTTGGGAACATTATGTATAAAAACTTTTATTAGAACCAATTGTCATACACATTAGATAGATGTATTGTCAGTAACACACTATTCCAAATTGTGAAACTTCTTAAAACAATTACTTTTAGAATGAAAGCATAAATGCACCTTACATTTCTCGCACTGGACCCTTGATTTTCCTTTACAGTTTATCAACTTACATCTTTCCCTGTTTACAGTCCAGTTTGGCCAGTGTGAAAACTGATCTGTTTGTACATATATATTGGGTCTAGGTTCAATGCATCTTCTTTTGGATGGTTGTTCGGGTGTAGAACTTCTAGGACGACCTACTTTTCTTTTTTGTAAAAGACCACTGTTAGTTAGTTCTTCAGCTAGAATTGTTTTGAAATTCAGCAGTGGTATAATCTCTTCAGTTTTTCCAATTTGTTTTTTAATTCTCCTGTCTAATAGCCAAGCATTGACTACTGCTACATCCAGCATATGATAGAAAATACGGTGGTACCATTTTTTACTTTTGATTTTGATTGGATATAATCCCAATAAGGAATCTTGCAGATCCACACCGCCCACGTGCCTGTTGTATTGTTGTACAATGTCTGGGCAATCAATTTCTTTCCTAGTTCTTTCGGTGCGAAAGAATCTTTCCACTTTGGCTGTTGGTTGAGTTTCTCAATAATCAATTTCTATGTTTAAATATTTTTTAAGAATTCTTCTTTTTTTTTCTTTTTAAAGTTTAGACGATTCACCTATACACTAGGCAACTATACTATTCAGAAATTATTAACACTATACCAGGTAAGTCAAAATTAATTTATTTAACAATTTACTAATCTTTTTCTCTCTTTTATTTCAGAGTCGAACCCACATTGTGATGGCTTCATGAAATTCATGAACAACAAACTCATATAAAAATCCCTTTAAGTTGTATCCTTTTTAACATATTGAAATCATTTCAATATTTATAGGTAAACTAAACAACAAAGGGTATTACAAATGATGGACGAAATGGCACGGAAAATATACACTGAACTAAGACATCATCCTAACACTATCCTAAGATAAATAACAAGTTCTGATGAAAACATCAGATGGAAGCATGCCAGAACAAAAATGTAACTTAGATGGTACCAGGAATAAGTTTACAGGATATAAGAATATAGTACTACAGGGAAACAAAGACACGAACCATATTCAGTGTCACTTCTAGATATAACATTACAAATGTTATTAATGACTAATTGCCAAAAAAATATTAAGATTCTAACGCTGTTGGCACCCAAAAACTCAAAAACAGTAAAAACGGCCAAAATTACAAAAAATTGTTTCAGAAAGAGTAGCGCATCGGAAGTCCAGCTTTTGCCTGGATTCCTATGGAAACTTGGGACGGACGGACACAGATAAACATATATGAGGATACAGAAACAAAGGGCAACAGAAGGACAGCCTTTAGCCTATCTTAAAAAGCAAGCAGACTAATTACAACGAAAAAATATAGAGTCATGCCCTTTTTATCGAGAAAATCTCAAAAGTCAAAAACATCGACAGCAATTTGGCCATACATCTCAATAATAGTGTGGAGCAAGGGATGGTTGAGTGCTTGAGACTTGGAAGAACTATGTTTGCAACACAAAACATTGATAATACGCTCCTAAGCCCCGGTCCATTGTGTAGGGTATCCTCCAGTCCTAGATGCATGGATTCGTAACAACTCTTCAATGGTTTGCGAAACAATCTTGTCGCTGCAAGTATGCATGAAAGTTAATCTTTCCTTATACACTGCTGGATATATATCTTCCTCATAATGTTGCATCTGTTTCTATTTTGTGCCCCTTGAATCAAGTTTTTCTGGCAACGCTTGACAACATCCCAAAAGATAACAACAAAATCTTCGATTTTGTCTATAACTCCACGAGTTAAATACGCCTTTCTTTTATTTTTGACGTTTATGTAAAATTTTACAGTTATAAATGAATTGTTTTGCAATTAAATGGTTGGCATAACTTTTTCCACCTCATATTCAAGTATACTAGTTATACTGGTCATCATCATTGAAGAAACTATGCAAGAAAGATTTTAAGATTGTATTATTTATAGAAAATTATGGCAATGAAATGCTCAACTACTAATAATTGGAATGTATATAAGCGACATGTCAGATATGAGACATAATTGCAACAACATAATAGATACACATAAAACAATGAGAGAGTAGAGTAAATCAACGAAATTTCCCAATAATAAATTAAACCAGATACTCTGGAGCCAAAAATAGCTCGATTGAACTTACCTTCGTTCAAATATGCTAACACATTACAGTTCTTTAAAATTATAAAATGAAAATCGATTTTTTACAATATCTCGTGGACTGACAAAAATGACAGATATGTATTTAATTCTAATTAAGTTTGATGAAGATTAAGGGTTTCAGATAACTATTGGTGATTTTGGTCAATCATCATCATCATCATCAGTGGCAGTACAGCTCGTCATGAGCCAAAGCCTTCTTCAGAACAATCTTCCATTCGCCCCTGTCTCTGGCAACTCTTCTCCATGCTTTAACTCAGATGGATTTTAGATCATCCTCTATGATATATTAATTCCTAAGTTTTGGTCTTTCTCTGGGTCGTTTTCTCACTGGTCCGCTTCGGTCGAAATTTTTTCTGATCGTTGCATCTTCATCTCGCCTAATTACATGCCCTATCCATCGAAGGCGTACTAATTAAATACATTTTACAACGTCAGGTTCCCCAAAACTTCTGTATAACTCAAAGTTGTAGCGCCTACGCCACAAACAATGGATTTCTTGGACTCCTCCATATATTTTCCTTAGAATTTCTCTCTCGAAACGTTTAAGCAGTTCTTGGTCGTTCTGTGTAAGTGACCACGTTTCTGATCTGTATGTTAACACTAGCCTTATTAGTGTTTCATATATGGTAATTTTAAATTTTCTGGGTAGTTTATCCGTCTGACTAGATGGACGGATGGTATCAAGCGCATCACCACAAACTGGATGCAAGAAGCTCAAGACAGAGATAGGTGGAAAATTTTACGGAAGGATTACGTTCAGCAGTGGACAAACATAGGCTAATTGATGATGAGTAGTTTTGGGGCCATCTGTTTTCTCAAGCCATAATAGCACTTATTGGCAAGCACTATTCTTCTTTTAATTTTTTCGCTGACATTGTTGTCTTTGGTCAGCAGCGAGCCCAGGTAGACGAAGGTGTCCACCCCTTCCAGTTCCAGATCATCAATTAATAGTCTAGCTATCTGGTTGCCTGATCTAGTACAATACATATACTTGGTTTTCTGTGCATTTATTTTTAATCCGATTCGCAGTGCAAACACCTTTAATGATCGAAATGCTTCGATCAGAGATTCTGTGGACCTAGTAATAATGTCTATGTTATCTGCATATCTTGAGCTATAACTGCTCTTGAGCGTTTTCATCAATTTTAGGCAAGGTAATTTCTATTTGGTCTTCTTCACGACTACCGCTAAGCAGTTCTTCAAAATGATTCGCCCACCAGTTTAGTATCTGTTTTTTGTCACTAATTATGGAACCATCTCTATCTTTACATGCTGTTATTCTGGGTTTGAATTCTTTTCTGCAGCTGTTTATCTTCTGGTAGAAGATAAACAACATAGATTTTGGTAATCACAGGTAAAGTAATGCAAGTGGAAATAATTTAGCAGATGTAAAGCGGTATGCGAAAACATATCCCAATTGTAAAATACAGCAGACAGACGATTATTTATTTCTAATAATCGTTGTTAAAGAGAGACAAGGTACATTGAGACCACAAATTGTAGGTAATAGTGATCATTCAAAAGTCGATAGAAATGATAAAGATATTTTAAATGTAATTAAAGAAATTTCTAAAAGCGGTAAGAATAGTATCTGGTTTATCTATCGTATCTAGCTAATTATGTTTCTCACAGGTTGGTTTTAAAAATAATCAAAGCCAAGATTATTTTTTTTTTAATTTAAAGAAATAGTGACATACCTTAGAATCATTCACAAACTTTTCACAAGTATGAAGATCTTCTACATATGATTCAGGCCTAGGAACTCCACTTTTAACTGAGTACTGTAATAGTGTGTGTATAATAGAATCCTTACGAACTCTTACTGCTCTGTTTTGCAACCACCAATTTACTTCTCGTTCAAGAATATCTATATTTTTTTTAATGAACGTTATATTTTTCGTAGCGTCATAATAGAGTCCAACCATTAACGATAAAAGAGGAGGTTGGGATCTGTTCAGGTAATACACTCTGCTTCCATTTGGAACAAATCCATATCTATAATAAAGAAAAACTTAATATTGACAAATGCAAAATATTAATAAAGATCAAAATATAAGGAAAAGTGTTGTATACTGAAACACTATAATTTTTAAATGCATACAAAATTATTAGTTTTTTTTTAATTCGTTTTAACATTATTCTAAGCACCAACATGGAGAAAAGTGGGTAGAGTGTTCAAGTTGCTACAGATGGTCAAATGCAGAGTGTGCTGGTATTGATAAAAAGAACACTTGCGTTTGTGATTTTTGTATTGAAAAATAGGTTCCTAATTTTTGATAGGGTATCTAATTTTGTGAACCATTTTTTTTTAATTTGAAAAAGGGTCATTTTTACTTTTGCCTAATACTTACACTGTTTAATGAAATAAATATTTTTAACTATTATAGGGGAAAATTGTCTAAATCGTACCGCCTCCTTAATCGTACCACCTCTATTTTACTGCTTTATAGATACGCTAGAGCTCCCTGACAATTTAATTGTGTACTACAAGAGGAATCCGGCGAGTTTCAACATAGTTGTGCATGTTCGCGCCGTTCTGCGTTGTCTTATTACAATTATTGTGTTTTTGAAAGTGTGCTTGTAGTTTTCGTGCATCCTACGTAAGCTCACATCTTTTTTAAAGGTAGGTGTAATATAATTTTATAAAGACATTTGTATAATACACTTAATCTAGTATCTAAAAGCCAATAGGTTAAAGCAAACAGTTTTATTTTTTAGGTTATAAATTGCAAATCTTTATGAAAAGTAAGATTTGCCTTGATCGTACCTCGCGACTTTTCCTTGATCGTACCGGTACGATCAAAGACACCCTGTCCTGTATTATATAGGGTGAGAAGCACTTATGGAATAAAATTATCTCTGTCCTTTTTTTTTAAAAATCATAAAAAATGCTGACACCCGTTGATTTTTAAATATAAATGTGCACTTTTTAAACATAAATTTAAATGTACAGGGTGATTAACGCAAGCCTAGTACATACCATAAGCTTTATTTTTAATGGAACACCCTGAATAGTTTTATATTTTTAAAAGCTGCTAACCTGATTTCAACGAACTATATCATGTAATGGAGGTTTCTTATGAATAATATAGGATGAAATTTTGAAATTACAGAAAGAACAGAAATAATTTTATTCCGTAAGTGCCTTCCACACTGTATACAATTACCTACTCATTTTTCAATTAACAGGAGCAATAACAACCTAATACACTTGTGTTTTTGTGTCTTAGATGGCAAAAACGACATATGGGCCATGGAGCCAGGACGATATGAACGGGCTCTTCAAGCTTACCGTAATGGTGATGTTGGATTTAATGAATGCTGCCGTCGGTATGGCATAACAAAGCTAACTTTCAACCGGCATCTTAAAAAAAGAAATGTTGTGATGAAAGCTTAATGTTTGGATTTACAATCACGGAAGTAAGACTGTTGGCATATCAAACTGCTGAGAAAAACAATATTTCCCATAACTTCAATACTCAAACTCAATTGGCTGGTAAGAAATGGTTTTACTCTTTTAAACAGCGACATCTTGAACTTACTTTAAGAGATCCCCATGCTACATCTTTATTACGGCTAAAAGGGTCCAAGAAAGAAAATATTTATAAGTTTTTTGACATCTTACAGAAGCTTGTTGAATAAAACAAAATCGATGCCACACGAATTTACAATGTCGATGAGTTAGGACTTTCTACTGTCCAAACCAAAAGCCAAAAATTACTTGCCAGAAAAGGTAAAAAAAAAGGTAGGTTCAATCTCAAGTGGAGAGCGTGGTGTCAATACTACTATCGTATGCTGTACCAGCGCATCCGGAAACTTTCTTCCACCTATGCTTATTTTTAAGCGTATGAGAATGATGCCTGAGTTTAAAGTTAGAGCTCCATCTGGAGGGTTGGTAGACATATCTGAGTCCGGGTACATAACCATTGAGCTGTTTATAAAGTAACTGACACATTTTGTTAAAATTGTAAAACCAACCCCAGAGAAAAAAGTTATTCTCGTGTTGGATGGGCACACAAGTCATTCCAAAAATCTTGATGCCATTGAATATGCCAGGAATCATGGTGTTATATTGTTACAACTTCCAGGATATACAACACATCGACTTCAGCCGCTAGACAGAAGCTTTTTCAGTCCCTTAAAGACCTACTTTAATCAAGCAGTTGAAAAGTGGCTGAGGACTAATCCTGAGCTATATATCACACAATATCAAATCTCTGGATTAGTTACAGATGCATATGGCAATACAGAGTCATGAACCTTAACTGAAGCATCACTGAAGAGACTCAAAGCATTTGAGATGTGGTGCTATAGACGCATGTTGAAGATTTCCTGGGTAGACAGAATTACCAACGAACTACATAGAACTACATAGAATGGGTAAAGAGCGCGAACTAGTCGTAACCATAAAACGTCGCAAACTAGAATACCTGGGCCATATAATGCGCAATGAACAACGATATGACCTACTTCGGACCATACTTCAAGGTAAAGTGCACGGGAAAAGAGGTCCAGGACGGAGAAGGATATCCTGGCTGCATAACCTGCGAAAGTGGTTTAACTTAACAACTACCGTCTTTTCAGGGCAGCAGTCAACAAAATCAGAATAGCCATGTTAGTGTTCAACATCCGTAACGGATGGGCACCATAAAAAGAAGAAGCATATGGCAAGGCTGCAACTATTAAAAATGCAGTCAGTGGTTTTCATGTCAATGGTGTATGGCCAGTAGACCGTACTGTCTTTAAAGAGAGTGACTTTGTAGCGGCTGATAACCTAAATCAAAATGACACTGAAAACGTCAACAAAGAACAACTGGAAGAACATACAGACGATCATGTTGAAATTGACTGTCCCTTGGTCCAAAGCTTAGGCAACAGTGATACTGAGTTACCAATAGATAGGCCTAATAGTGAAACAGCTAAGGCTGCTAATGTAGGCTTAACTTGCCCTAGGATCAACATTTCAATTGACACCATATCTCCTATTCCGAAACCACACACTAAATCAAAGAAGTCTTCGGGGATTCAAAAAGCTGCCGTGTTGACAAGCAGTCCATACAAAAACAAACTTGAGATGGCCAGTGAACTGAAAATGGTGATGGAGAAAGTAAAAGAACTTAAAGAGAAATTGAGAAAGAATGTAAAGCCAAAAGATTATGTTAAAAAGAGAAACTTTGCCAAGTTAAGAAAACAAAAAGATCGTGAGAGAGAAAAAAGAAGTTGCCAACAAAAATCTTGCGGTAGAAATGTCAAACATGTCTTCAAAAAAAAAAAAAAAAAGAATTACTTAATATGGCCTCCACTTCACGTGCTCTTGATGTATTAATTGACATTGTCAGGGAAGAGTGGTATTGTTCTTTGTGCAAAAGTAATACAGTAGAAGACATGATTCAATGTCAGAAGTGTCGTTTTTGGTTTCATGAATCATGCACCGGCATTAAACCTGGACTTAAATCGTTCTTCTGTGTCGATGGAGAAGAAACAAGTATTGAGAAAGTGTATGATTCAGGTTTTGTTTTAATTTTTTTAACCCTTTTTTACTTACAATTGTAATAAAATCATTATTTTAATGTATGGTTGAAATAAAATCCCTGAACAATCTACATAAGACTAACATTAAGTACGATCAAGGAAACCTATTGTACGATTTAGGAAACTAGGTTCCTAATTCGTACTAATATACTCGTAATATTTTTTTGCATTATATGAAGTTATACGACCATATAAAAAATAATTTAGGTTGCCAAATAAGTCAACTTTATTGTTACATTGTGTTAAACCTAATTATTCATTATTTGATGAAAATAAACAATGAAATTTAAAAAGTGGTACGATCCAGGAAATTTCCCCCTATTTAACATAAAATAGACATAAACATAAGAATAAATTTAATAATACTACCAATTTGGTAAGCTATGCTATAAACATTTATAAACAGGCAAAAAACATAATATGTAATACATACCAAGAATATGAATGACAAATAACATTTCATCATAATATAAAATTATCCTGTTTCCTGTTTCTAGTTTTATTAGATCTATTTTAGTAATCATTTAGAAATCTATTGTAAAACTAATATATCACTCATAAATGGCTTTATAACAAAATCAACAAAATTACTTAAATGTGTTACCTTCTAACTAATGAGATAAGATTCTCCAGCATTCCTCTTGCAGTCTCATTCATTCCAGATATCAGTAACCCTTTAACTATCCAGTAAGAATCCCAGTAATAAATTTCTTTAAATCTTCCACCAGGTATAATAAACCCATTCGGTAAAGAAATCAACGAATGTTGCGCCGGATGTTTAGAAACAGTGTTATTTACTTTCCTAGCCAGTAATGGCCAAATATTATTCAGCTTCTTGGCAAAACTTTTTACTTCAGTATTGTTGATTTTATTTAAAAAACTTGCATTTTGTTTGTAGTCTGGGGGAGTCCATTTTACCAACTCTCCTTCAGAAGAGAAGCAATCGTTTATAAAATGGGTTATATTGATCTTTGTAGGACGGTTTTTAGTGCTAACCATTAACTTGTTAAACCGGTCAAGAGTAATGTTCTCAGGATACTTCTGTACTAGATCTACAAATGTCTTGGAATCGTTGAAAACTCTAGATTTTTGGACTACATCTAATAAGTTGCCTTGGCAGTACACTTTACTTGTACATAAGTCTATAAGTACTTCAGACAAAGCTTGGTGACTAACAAATAATATGATCGCTATTATTGGACCTAATCTCTTCATGTTACCTGAAAAAGAATAGAATCTGTATTAGTTTTACCGTTTTTTTAATTGTTGTTTTAACATATATTTTAAAACTACAAATTATATTTTTTTACTCTTTCAAACTGACAATATAACGTAGTGACAATTTCATAGTTCAAATCATAATAAATGAGTGGCTTCAGATCAAAGATGGACATGTGTCAAAAAAAATAAGAATTTAGTTAGTAGTGGCACAGAATAAATAACAATTTTTTATTATTCTGTGGTAGTAGTTTCTTATAGAATTGTTCCTGTGCTTTTCAACAGTGATAATAGTTTCCTTCCAACACGGACGCAAATATGTTATTTTTAACTTCACAGTTGAAGTTCTGTGTCAAAAACGGACTCCTGCTATGAAAGTTTATTTCAAAAACGGACATCTTCCCAACAGCCAATGAGAATGCTGTATTGTGATCACATGACTAAGAACTCAACTATGGCGGCCATTGCTTTCAACTTATCGTCTGGTGTTAATCGTTTTATTTGTGTTTATCACTAGTTTAAACTGTTTTTTTTTTCGAATATGATTAATATACAAAGTAGATTCTTAGCGCTTGCCGAGATCAGTGAGGGCCTTATAATAAACGGCGAGCCACTTAATAACATAAGATATGCTGACGACACCGTCCTTCTGGCGGGAACACTAGAAGAACTGCAACACCTTGCTGAACAACTAAATATATATTGCAACGATTATGGTCTAAAAATCAATTTGAAGAAAACCAAGTTCATGGTATTTACAAAAGCACAAAACATCAAAGTTAAGCTAGTAATAGATAATACAGAAATTGAACAAATATCTTCGTACAAATACCTTGGAGCATGGATCACAGAAGATACTGATTAGACAAAAGAAATAAGATGCCGCATTGAAATTGCGCGGTCAACTTTTAATAGAATGAGAAAACTTTTTTTGTAATCGCGATATCAATATATCGCTCCGGATAAGAATGCTTCGATGTTATATTTTCTCTACCCTTTTGTATGGAGTTGAAGCTTGGACACTTAAAAATCCAACATTAAAAACCTAGAAGCATTCGAAATGTGGTGTTACCGAAGTAGTTTGAAAATATCATTTATGGATCGCAAAACAAACGAACAAGTTCTCGAACAACTAGGAAAACAATGCGAAGTTTTAAATTCCATAAAAATCAGGAAATTGGAATATTTGGGGCACATCATGAGAGGTGAAAAGTACGAACTACTAAGGAATATAATGCAGGGTAAAATCAAAGGTAGAAGAAGCGTAGGAAGACGTAAAATCTCGTGGCTACGCAATCTCCGTGAATGGTTTGGAAAGAAGAAGAAGAAGATTCAAGGAGTCAAATATATGTCAATCCAGGGACGAAGAGTAAGAGGAATAGCGATCCTGAAAAAGGAAAAAAAAAACATCCAGAAACGACAAAGGTAAGTTCATTGAACTCAATCATGTACTTAACATTTGATTGCTGTAACAAATTGTCAATAGGTGGGTAAAGTTTGATATATTAAAAGTTACTGAATATGTTCATCCGAGTTATGAATAATTTTTAAGTGGTATGATAACGTCTGATTTTAAAATATGAAGCTTAAAAGTTGGCTGTAAAAACATGACCAGCTTAGTACCACTTGCCTAAGTTTTTTTTTTAAATTCAGAGATTCCTAATGCAAATTTTGATTATTGACTTGAATGAATAGACTATTCATTAAATTAACTAAAGTTTAATTAATTTTTCCTTTTGTATGTTCATGCAGGCACCTAACCAAAGGTCGTCCTCTGTACTTCACCTCTCATCACCAAGTTGGATACCAATGCCAGCTTTTACCAATGCATGATGTCATGGAATTTCACAAAGCCTTTTACTCAATCCCAGAAAAAAGGAAACAAGATGCGTTCATTTCGAAATACTTTTGGGTCTGGAGTACCTAACTCCAAAAGAAAGAAGCTTGAGCCTATAAAGGGGAAAACACAATCTTCCAATATTCGGTTATAAACCACGCTGGCAAAAATCTCAAAGTTTGCAGAGATGCTTTTCAAGGTGTTGCAGCCTATTACTAAGCATAGAATTATAGTAGTGTTCCGAAAATTTAAGAACGGTGTATCTCATGTCCCAGTAAAAACCCGAGGTGGAAACCACAAGGAAGTGAAGTTTGCTCCGAAAAGAGAAGAAGTAAAAAAGTTTCATCTGTAGTTTTCAAGCTATTAAATCGCATTATTCACATCACTTATCGTGTGTCTACCTACCATCAGACTCAGGGAATTTTCAGGAAATATTTTGCTTAGATTTCAACATTAGATTCTCTTACCCTAGTCGAAAGTCTAGTACTTGCCTAGAATTACAAAACCTTATCCAAGTGGAAAAAACGGAGGAAGAAAACAGGTGTCTTAAAAATAAAAATGAAGTTACACAAGAAACAGGCCCAAACCCAAGCCTTCTTTCAACACCAACAAAAAAAACCACAAGGATGTTTTATGTTGAGTTTTGATTGTCAGAAGAATCTTGTTTTGCCAAAATTAACTGATCAAAGTGCGTACTATTCACGACAATTTTACTGTTATAACCTTTCAGTAGTTAAAAGATTGTCAAATGAATCCCTAAATCCCAGTACTGTCTCAATTTATACCTGGACCGAAGACGAAGCAAAAAAATCATCCAACGAGGTTGCTTCCATTGTATTCAATTTCGTGTCTGATGGTTGCGCTAGACAAAATAAGAATATAAATATTTAAACTATGTGCTGCAAGTTTCTGGATAGCTGTGCTCCAACAAGCATACGAAAAATTGAAACAGTCTTTCCTATAACAGGGCACTCATTCTTCCTGACGACAGAGTATTTGCGATGATAGAAAAAAACATTGTGCCAAAAAAAAATATCATAAATTTTTAAGAAATACGGTACGATTAAGTTGATTGAAAGGGATTGGGTACCGTTGGATTGGAAACAAGAACCGAAAAGTTTTATGAAAACAGCGGCTCAACTTCATTTCAAAATTTTCACCTTCCGAAAAATAGTTCTTCGAAAAACTAAATTGGGAAACATCGTTGACAAAGGAGAGATGGCTTACAACCTTGACACTGATGCAAAGAGGAAAATTTGTAAGACCTACTGCACTATTGAACAGATCAACCTAAAGAAATTCTAATTGGTGTCACCCTAAAAGCAGAAAAGGTTAAGGACATAGCAACATTGCTTGAAAAATATTTTGGAGTAAATTGGAGGGAGAATGGTACTTTACAGTGGTACAAAAACATGATGCAAGCAGAACCTGAAATATTGGCTGAATGTGACGATATATGTGAGTGTGAAAATAATAATACTGATTTTGATGGTGATCTTATGTTAATTTCATTTTGAATGTTACTAAAGTTTAGATATAGAAGTTCGAATATTCTACTTTATATATTTTTAGTTAAATTGCTTTGTAGGTAGGTTCTCATGCAACTTAAATAAAAGATTTTAAAATTTGAATGTTCATTTAAAATACCTGATTCCCTATATGAATTTTATGAGCATTAAATTTTAAATTAGGTACAAACCGAGGGTTCACTCTTTCAAATACAATTTCTTTTGCATCAAAAACGGAGACCTACCATCACATTTGGATCAAAGATGTACATTTACCCATTTATGTTCCAAAAGTCGACATCTGTATTTTCAAATAATAATTTTATAATAATTTCATATATTTCTAATATCAGAATGTCCACAAGATTACTTTTGAAGCCTTCAACAAAATTATAGGAAGTGAGATTTTTATAAAAAGAATATTAGCAACTATGTATAAAAAAGCCAGTTTATTTCAATTTTTCTTGCATGACACATGTCCGTCTTTAACATAAAGCCACTCAAATTATTGATTTCTAGATATAGTAAACTATAATAACATTCAATTTTTCCATATTATTTTTTTCTAGTATCCTCGAATCATGTTCATCACAAAGTTAAAAATCAATAAAAATATATGATCAGGCAGAATCAGAATCAAATTTAAAAATCTGTATAGCGTATACACAACTTCACCCGACTCACTGCACTAAAAGAAAGCTCTGCATTTTCACTAGAACATAATATAGACAATTTGCGCCAGACGTTTCGGTACTAACCAGTTTCCTTAGCAACAATTGATCTAATATCATTTCGTCTAAGAAATTTCGTTTAATTTTAATTTCACAAAAAGCCATTTGAACTAACGGAGTTTTTAAAGTAATGTATATTTGACATAGTCATTTGACCTAACGTCGTTAGAACCAGAAAATATTATACCTAAAGACAATATTGCCTAAAGACTGTTGATATAAGCTAAGTTTTATAACATCCTAACTCGACAATTCTAGTTACGGTAAGACCAATAATGTTTATTAATAGATAATATATGGTAGCTCATTATAACTTATTCTCTTTCAGCCCTGAAGAAGCCAAATTAATTCTCTTTAGCGAAAACGTTCGGCGAAACAATTGATACTCATTAGAGTTTTCTCTTGCATATATATATATATATATATATATATATATATATATATATATAGATATATATATATATATAAATATATATATATATATATATATAAATATATATATATATATATATATATATATATATATATATATATATATATATATATATTGCTATCGCCGTATTCCCGTTCTCCTCCTCCAAACCTCTCGATTTTAATTCATTCATTCTATGAGCGTCAACGTCTACCTCTTTTTCTTCTTCCAGGGGGCTTCCATCTGTGAAGTTTTTGAGGCCAACGTTCGCCAGGCATTCTCAATAGGTGTCCAAACCAATTTAAACCTGTGCCAATGACCGTTTCTGTAGCATTAATGATATTTCTTATAGATTCGTTGCTCTTTCCTTCCAGCCTTGATGTTCTAGCACTTCTTCTCAAATAATTCATTTCAACTACCAACAATTTTCTCTTCAGGTCTGTATTAATTGTCCATACTTCAGAGCCATAACAAAGAACTGAGTCAACCATGGCTTGCCCTATTCTTTTTTTGTTCCTTTTGGAAATGTTGCTATCCCACCATAAGCAGTTCAGACATCCTACAATTTTACGTCCCTGATTAATTCGGTGTTTAATTTCGGTTTCTCCCAACCCGTTCTTATCAATGCACCTAAATATTTAAATTTT